TTGTTGTTCCCCTGATTTCCTATACCTAAAGCAAGTTCATAGTCTGTATCAGTCAGAATAGACTAGGGTATGATACAGTGACAAACAGTGCCAGAATCTCAGTGTTTTAACACAACAAAAGTTTTTCCCTGCTTGTTCAATGTCTGCCACAGGTCTAGGTAATTCTTGTAGCTCTTACTATGTTGCTCAGCATTCCACAGTCACTGAGACAGAGGAAGAGGAGCATCAAGAAATGAGTCCTGGCTCTTCTCTGCTTTCATAGGGAAGTAATACATATCACCTCCATTCACATTTCATTGACCAGAACTAGTTTATGGCTAAATTCAAGGAAGTGGAGAAGGCAACTGGTTACTGGTGAACCTTAGTAATGACCACTGCCTAGAACTTTTACTGTAAATGAAAGTAGAAGAGGGTGAAAAGGCTTATTTACTTTATAAACCCTTATATGATGCTTGTTATATGCCAGACATTATTTTAAGAGCTTTCAAATAGGATCTCATTTAGTCCTCACAAATGCCCTGTTATATAGGTCATTTTAATCCCCATTTTACAGCAGGGGAAATTGAGGCTAAATAACTTGCCCTAGGTCATATGTCACATAGCTAGTAAGTGGCAGAAGCAAGATTAAATTCCAGGCAGTCTGGGTCCAGAGTCCAAGCACTGAACTTGTATACAATACAACCTCTCTATTCTGCTTCCTCTTAACTTAGATTCTGGAGGGAGAGGGAGAAGGAGGAAAGAAGATTATAAATGCAAGTGTGGGACTCTGTGCATGCAAAGGGATCAAATAATAATTTGGATATTTCACTGCTAGAGCAGGGGTAGGGCTCTGGGAAGGCAGAGAGTAAGACTTAGAAAATGGATTGGGAAGAAGGAAATGTTTGGACTGATAGTGCTGCTAAAGACACCAACCCTGCAGACCAGGATGGAGACCAACTTCTGGCTTTTTTCTTTCTGCCTTCCTCCCATTCCTCCATCAGAGCCACCCACTTAGCATCTGCAGATTGCACCTTAGACCTCTGCTGAGGTTAGCTCAGACAGAGGGAAGGAATGGAGAGAAAAATCATCCCTCTAGAGAGTAGTGGGTGGGCCATTTTCGCATAAGAGATCAAACATTGTCAGACTGGACCTATTTCTTGTGCATTTCTGAGGCTTTACATATAATGACAGCTAGTATCAAATAAGCTATATTTTAAATCCTCAAAGGAGGATGTGCTTGATAAAAGAATCCTTCAGCAAACCAGTAGTAATTACAAGTCATCGCTTCCTAGTATATCAGTTTTCTAAGTCTTCATTGGTTGCTGTTAAACTGGAACACGTCTGCAGCTCAGCTAGCTTTCCTTCATTTTATAGCTGCGACTTGGGAGTCAGCGAACACCTCTGGGTAGAGGAACTCTTGGTTCTTACAGACAACGCCACTCTGATTACAATATCCTAAGACAGAAGAAATAGACAAATGATTCTGCTTTAAAACAGAATCTTTGCAATGAAACAAACAAAAAGAAGCCGTTTGTGTGACATTGAAGCTTTTTGATTCCTGTCTCTCTCACCTGTACATGCTGTGACTTGGTTACAACATATGGACTCTGGCTGCAAAACACTTTAAAAATGCTGTATTGGCACCTGCTGCAATCTGCCAGCTCATTCCTTAGGGCCAGTCAGTCCATACGGTGCCAGTGCTGCTCCATTTTCCTTAACTCTGTGTTGATTAGAAGCTGTTGGAAGTGATTGCCAGAGGTTTCTTTTCTCTCTAGTGCTGCAAAACCAGTGATGGCAATAGAGGTTACTGGATGGTGCTGGTTGATACCATACTCTGCCAACATCAGATTATTCTGTTATTTACAAGGAGCTTTCACTGCAGGATTAGGAGACTGATTCTAGTCTCAAAGCAGCCTCTAAAGCACCATGTCACCTTGGACTAGGCACTTCATCTCTCTGGGTCTTAGTTTTGTATCTGTAAAATGAAAATTTAAGCTAGACGGTTAAGAAAAGTGTGTAAACAAAGATTTGACACTTTATAGCTACCAATCTTTTTTTCCCAATAATTAAAATAATTCCAACATTATAATGCTATGCAGTTACTAAGGACAAAGAAGAAAGGATAAATGTCATTTTAATTAAATCTGCAGATGGAAATAAATGGGGAAGTTCTATAAGTAATTGTGAGACTATGTCTTAATGGAGTCCAAAAGAGTTTCCTCTTTGGGAAGTGTGAGCTAATACACCCACAGAGGAGTGATTAGGGACAGGGATATTTATACTAGATGGGAAATGCTGGGAAGGTGAGATTTTATATCAATACCCAGAGGTGAGATGTGGGCACCTGATGATGTGCAAAAGAACATATAGATTTGAAGTATTTCCCGTTAATGATGATGATGATGGATTTATTATATGTTAGAAGTCCAGGATAGCAATCTATGATATCTATCTATCTATCTATATCTTTATATAAAGATATATTATATATATAAAGATTAGCTTGCTTGTTTTCCACTCTGATCTGTGAATGGCTGATTAGTCACCATCTATTTACAAGCCCAGTAGCCATAAATACAGGTCACACAAGACCCACCAGAGGGGGAAAATCCAATTGTGTGTCTAAGCTCATGTTTCTAGTTCCCCTCCCACTTACGCACATCCAGTCAACTGCAGGGAAGAACCTGTAAACTCAGCCACATCTCTGACTCCTGCTAATGACAGGCCAACCACATGGACCCAGCCTGTGCCCAAGGCCCTTGTTATTTAATTGAAGACAGTTCAGTGCATTTAGAAGACTTCCTGGCTACAGGGAAATAAACTTGCACCAGCAGTGCTTGGGGTAGAAAGCAAGAATAGCCTAGTGTTATTCCACAGAGACTCTTGGTTTTTTGCGGAAAAAGTCCTAGCAGAGCGGACTGCTCCTCACCTCATGTCAGTCTTCTGGGTTTGCCCAGACATCCAAGCTCTGGGTGAATGGGTGGAAATTTCAAAGAGAGGAAAAAAATGACCCTAAGCTGAAGTCTGGATTCTGGTTGTGCATTTATGTGTCTCTCAGCTACAGGCAAGGCCTTTACTTACATCCGCTGCTCTGGGGAGGGAGTGATGGTCGCTGGAGAGCCATGATTGGTAATCGTTTCCAAAGTTAGACACCATGCCCTCTCATCCGCCTTCCTCCCTGCCCAGGTCTGGGGTCTAGCAGGACTTGTTTCCTCTGACTCCTGCCGGGGAGGTGGTGGTGGTGGGAATCGCTGATGCTTTCTGGAGACCAAGCCTTGGGTTATCTTGCAGACACCCACCCCAATCCAATTCTCCTTTTGCCTTTCTACTTAAAGCTTTCCCTCGTCACCAACCTCTGACCATGCCGCAGCGCACTTTTTGTCCTCACTCCTGTTTATGCTGTGGTCCTTTCTAGGCAGGCCCAGGTGAAGCCTCTGGAGGGAAGCCTTAGATCAATGTTCCTTAAACTTAAGCGAGCATCATATTTACCTGGAGAGCTTGTTAAAACAGATTGTTGGCCCACGCCCCTAGAATTCCTGTTTCCTAGCTGTGGGGTAGAGCCTGATAATTTGCATGTCTAACAAGTTCTTAGGAGATGTGGGACCACTTTGAGAACCAGTCCGGGACCACTCTGAGAACTACTACCTTAGATAAAAGAAGGTGACGGTGCCACGGCTTGAGCTCCCCCATTTCTTTCCGTCTCTCCCTGCTCCCTTCGCACTTAAGCCATTTTCATTTTTCCGTCGTAGATTCTGGCTTTTGGACTCTATTTCACTCCTATTGCCGGTTTTGAGCCTTGTTAGAGACGATTCCTGACCGCACTCCACGGTCCTGCGCAGCTTCGTTCCCACCGCCTTCACTGTGTTTCCACTGCAAACGCTGTCCGCTGCACTCTCCCTCTCTCCGGTGTGAATTGTTCACCCTCTTCCCCTACTCCTTGCACGAAATGCAACCTTTTCTGCAACTTAGCGGTGGCCGGCATCGCGGCTCGCCTCTGCGCTCCGCAGCCTTTGGAAGCTCCTTTGTGTTGGTACTGCCACGCTCCCCGCGCATCAGTCCCAGCCTGGGGCGCAGGGGCAGTTTCCGCGCCTGCTCTGCGCTCGGACCTCATCTGGCTCAGGCTCCTAGGCGTGGGCTAGGGCGGGTGCTAAACGCTCCTCTGTTGAGCTTCGGGCGCTGAAACCCGGAGGGTGGGCGGTAGCAGCGTCAGGTGGCTGCTCTGCGTCCCGGTGCACCGCCCAGTGAGTCCCTGCTCCACCCTCAGCCAGGGCTGGAGCGGGAGCTGATCAACACCTCCGCCCCGGCAGCCGCGTCCCCAGAAGCACCTAGGACTCGGGACCTTGGCAGGAGAAACTGAGATGTGACCCTTCCGACTGCCCATTGCCCTCTTTGGCGTCCAGCCTGCTTCTTCCACTTCTTTTCCCACTCCACAGCCCCACTGGACAGCGAGCGTTTGCCTCAATCTCCGGGGAGAGAGGAGCGGCCAGCAGGCGCACAGCCGGCAGAAGTTAGGTTCAGCCGGGCAGCCCCGATCCAGCTGCGCCAGAGGGGTGGGCTAGGTCAGGGGGAGAGGAAGGCGCAGTAAAGGGTTCGGGAGATAGGGGTTTGAGTGGGCTTTTCCTGTCTCCCCCGGCCCCGGGGCTCGGGGCAGGAGGGGGAAATGCTGAGCCCGCGCCTAGGCGACTGCCGCCGCGGCAGCAGCTTCAGCAGCAGCACCGGCGGGACAGCGACAGCGG